AGTCCACTCCATCTTTACTTGGCAATAATTTTCATGCAAAACATATTGGTATAAAAATACAGATGGGGAAAAATTTAGTCCAAGAGTGTAATATAATATAGATATTGACAGACAAAAATAAATCACATACAATAGATCTGCTTTTTCCCAAAGTTATTCAGAGAAGTCAACACTTAGTTTGTCCTTTGTTTGTGTTATATTAACGAAACTTGTCCTATAGGTAATTTATGTCCGTTTGAAGATCAGAGTCTATAGAGAAAATACTTTATCAACACAAGTGAGTTGTTAGTTGCATAAGGTTTAAAGAAATCAAGAACATTTTTTTCTAATATAGCTATAATGCATATCGATATCAATCGGTTTTTTTTCTCTTCAACTGGTGCGTATATATAGATAAAAGTAATAAAAAACGTGCGATAAGAATAAAATTGGTGGTATCATTTAAGAAACGAAGGTTATTTTTCTTGTATGATATAAAGAGGACGTTAAAAATCCAAGTTATACTATTTGCTTTACGTTGTCGAATGCAATATAGGCAAAGCGAAAAATAAAAGCTTGCACAACATCCATGCAATGCGTATTGTAAATTTGTTTTTTGATAATGCTCAACACAACTTTATCCCTTTTATTTTTAATGTTTTTTCCAGTAACCATTGAGTCTCAACAAAAATTCTCTTGCAGCGTTATTTACTAAAATTTTCATTTTCATATTTGTTAAAAAGATGAAAACAGTAGACATTCGAAATTTATTGTTCGACATTAGATGAGAATTTCATGTAGTACAACCGATGATTGTATCTTATGTTGATTATTAACACTTCTTTGTGTTAGTGCTAGATAACAGTGTAGATGCTAATTCATTAACTCTTGTCTTTGATTATCTCTTATCTATATGTGCATATTCATGTATATACTTTTTCTTACTGGCTTCTCTCTTCCCTTGATTGTAACAGTCTGTTTTCGAGACACAAATAAGTATGTTGCATTATAAACTTCGATTTACATAAAATTCGTTAATTTTTATTCTCTATTGGTTCAACTGTTAATTTTCTTTAGATTTTTATTTAATCCAGATGTCAACACCAGCTCTCGAACCCGATAGTGATATGAAAAATGAGGAGAAAATGAAAATGGAATAGTAGGTCAACTCCCTAGTGAGGATAAAATAGAAGATGAACTAGCAAACAACAACCAGACAAAAGATGGGGTACACAGCAAGGATGAGATAAAAGCTGAACTGGAAAATACAGATGAAAAAAAAAAGAATTACAAAACAGTGGATAAATCAAAGATCGATCACAAAATGAGGACGAGCAAGAAGATCAGTCACAAAAGAATGATGAGCGAGACGATCAACCATACGATGAAGACGAAATAGAATATGAACTAAAAAATGATGATCAGAGAGCAGATGAGGTCAAAGATGCTGTAGCTTCACATAAACCTACTACTACGAAATCTTCTACTTCTTGCAATTTATTAACGCCATCTTCTATTACATTTTATGCACTACGTTATGTCGATCTCAATCATAGCTCGAAAATTCAAGCTCAATTTGATGAAGATATCAAATTTGACTTTTCGAGTAGACAAATTCTGAATGTTCAAGAGGCTAGTAGAATCATACTTTCTTTGATTTATGATGAAACTAGGGATCCACTGGTGACGTTTTACCGTAGTATCGATGGCACCGATTATCGTTTCGCTGGTAATTTTTTATGAATTCGTCTGTCTACACTATCTGGTACATCCGAGAAACTCGAGTATTTTATTTTCTCGTAAGAAGTCATTAATAAAGTGATTTTTGCAAAATCTCATGAAAATTTTGGATATGGCAAACGGCCAATCCAGTAAGAGTATAGAAACCTACCTTGAAGACTAGTGTATGTTTTGTCAACGAATGTTTTCAGTCTTATATATTATAAGTGATCATAAAAATAGGTCATCACCATAGTTTTTATGATTCTACATTGGTAGTATTGACTGTAACAGAGATAGTCGAAGCTATATTCCTCAGTAGACGAGGCTGTGACAAAGGAAATATTTCTTTTATACCTGATAATGGTGATTAAGTTGACAAATGAGCCTATGAAACCATGAAAATCTATCGTGATATGTAGTGTAAGAGTAGCATTGGAATGTTTCTAACATGCAAACATTTGAATAATAGCCGAGTGGGATTATCTCATGACGTTCTTGATATTTTAACCGGTCATATTCACATCAACACTAAAGATTGAAAAAGTATTCGTGATTTGATAGTATAACCATATAGAAAATATCTTTTCGTTCACGAATGTAATGAGCAAGTCAACGATATGTCCAGTTTAAGCATAAGCATCGACGACAATAATCGGTGTATCAACATCAGTGTGTGCTCTGAGATCTAAAGCATATAACTAATGGTAGATATTGACTGTTACCGTATGTTCCTGATATCGTAAATGGCGTTATTACTCTTTATGACGATACTCAAAGTTACATAACTGAGTACCTGACACTGCGGTAGATGGAAAAAAACTTTCATCGACGTACGTGACGATGAAGCCAGTGATAGGGCTGATAAAATTATGAAAACCTACAATAACAGTCGTTAGGCGATGACTATCGGTTATTCTGAGGCTGAATGCATCTGAAAAATGGTAGAAAACGATCATCTTTATATATTTCTGCTGTTCTAAATGGCAGTAAAAGTCTCCATTGTGATCTATAAAAATATATCACTGAGTCTAGGATACTGAAGCAAATGAAAAATTTTTTCAGACGTGATGGTGATGATCAAATTCGTTATAGCACTGATAGGGATATGAAAACCTACAATCATGACCGATAGGTGTACATTGCTGATTATAATGAGCTTCAAACGTGTCTGAATAGTGATAGGAACTGGTTATCGTCATAGGTTCGCACAGCCCCAATTAGTATTGTTAACGATAAGGATGTCAGTTGAGGTCGTATGCGTAAGTTGCAGGCATAAGTAGTTATCTCATTTGGATATCTTAACGGTAGGTAAAGTTAGTTCTATGAAAAGACTCATGTTGGTCATCATATACTCAAGTTTCGTAGCATAACAATGAGTACGGATGCAAGGGTGATGATAATCATGGACACAATTAATGGTTCAGACTAGTTTTCACGAAAGCAGCGTTTTCTAGGAAAATAAGGTTTTTCTTATAATGAATGACGCAAGCGAACTGGGATCGGAAAATCAGATTTTGAAAAATTTTTAAATCAATCTTAAAGGGTAATGAAAGAGTTTTAAAAAGAATAAAGATTTATGTAAAGATTAACGCTAGTAAATAGGTAATGAAGAATTCGAACGTGCTATCAGCTTTTTGAAATTTTGAGTTTGAACTCTCACGAAAAGATCCCTTTGTGAAAGTTATGATCTCCTTAAAAAACTATTTTCCATGGCATAGACATTTTTTTTTAAATTAATTTTTTTTTCGCAAAGAAAAATTTGTGTTAAAAGATATAATTGGAAATTTTGAAAAACCAATATCGCCTTCGAATTCCTCGATTTCTAGCCATGAAGTAATCATCAGTTGAGAACTAATTATAAAATTTGAGAAACACGATGATATGTCACACTAACTAGATACATAGCGACTGAGAATGCATATCTCGATTGTGGAATCAGTCAGTAGCTTTACTTCTGATAAGAATCTGATCAACCTGAGTAGCCTTAATTTCGATGGGTTGTAACTGTTGCATACAGAGATAAAATCTTCAATACATTGAATATTGATGAGAAAATGTTTTTTTTTAAATACAAAATTAAATTATCATTTTTACTTTAGTTCAATGCAAACAAGAATGAAAACAGTGTATTTCTCTATCAACTTGAACTCAACTTTTTTCTCAATAATATGGAAGAAATTTATATTCTCTATAAAAAATACCGGAAAATTCAACTATATCAACTTCGCATATCAGCACCAGGAATCGCAATTACGAAGAAGATTCACTTCGTGATCTCATGTATGGCCCATTGATGTCACATCAGTTTTTATTAGACACCCGTTTCAAAGGCAAATTTCATTTCAACGCTCCTGGTAAGAAAGTGTTGCTAACTAATCTATTTCTGTAGAAAAAGTCTTTATAGGTCATAATATACCATTTTGAGATCAACTATATATTTTTACTTATTATATTCTGAGCACAAAATCTTACGATAAATTTAATTCACTTTTCATACAATTTGCTACTATCCTGGAAAGTCGTCCAACTATTATTTCACAAGAAAATTTAAGAATATTTTTTAGTTCATGCTTTAAATATTTATCAACAATTGAAAATGTTCTCAAACAGGATCCTGGTGCGCTCAACATACTAATTCGTATGTTTGGGCTTTTATCTATAAATCAAGAAAATTTAATTATTGATAGAATATCTGCAATACTTGCATCAACAATTCTTGACATTTTATCGAATAAGCTCGATGAAGTCTTGACAATAATCGATGAAAATGACTAGATATATTTTTCTCAAGGTTTAGTTGCACTTATTTGTGTTAAATTAATTGATCACAGAAATGAAAATGAGACATGCAATACTACTAATTTAATAGCAAGAATGTCAGAAGGAGAACAACAAGATGATGCAGCATTTGTATTGCTTGATTTGTTCTATTAATTACAACGTAGATTACCGAAAAACAAAGTTCTGGAACTGTATAGATTAGTGAAACCTGAGGGTGTGGGTGTGGGTATGCATGCTTTTGGGCCTGGGTGTGTCTGTATCTTGTGCATATCTACACCCACACCCACACACAGCATTTCAGAAAAAGATTAGATGAATGAATTTTGATCTGAAATTTTTCCTATGAATAGATCGAAGGATTTATACAATATTCATAACGTTTCAGTAAAAATGGATGCTTTCAAAGCGAGATATTCCATTTTTAGAAAGTCTTGAACTTCGAATAGCCTCTGAAAATATGGATGTTTATTGAAATTCTACTAGCTCCCTTTTGGAGCATCAATTGGTATTGAAATATTATGCCTATTCTACAAATCGTTCGACCTATTTGTAGGTGATATTTTCGATCGAAGTTCATCGATCTGATTTTTTTTGAAATACCAGGCCTTTGATCGAACATCCAGCAAAACAGGCATACCTCAGGAGTAAAAGCGCAAGGGATTGAATCTTCCCTAGGTTTTTCATATCCCATCGAAGCCTGCTTATAGTCGAAAAATGGAGTCTTAACGGCTTGAACACCTAAATATGTTCCGTTGTTAGTGTTTAAGTGAGTTATGCAATGTCGCATTTGATCATTTTCCTAGAAGTTTTTTAAAAGAATGATTTATTAATCTACAAATTTAATTTTAAACTTCTGTTCTTTTCTTTGATAGTTAAGCAAACATCTATTGAACTTAGAAAAAAAGAGAAAATCAATTTGTATTTAAAATAAGTTTTCATCGAAACTCTTTCAATCAAGATTTTTATTAAATATTTGAACTATTTTAATAAATCACTACTATGTCTTTTTATGTGTAGAATGTCGAGAGCAATTAAATTTTAAATGAATTCGAATAAACTAATAGATAGATTTAAAAACAGGATCATTATATAGTCTTTTTAAATGAAAAAAATCATTTATTCTTTAAATGTATGTCAGATTAAACATGGTCTGTGTTGGAAAAGAGATTTCTATTTTTATTTTAATTCTATATGTTTAACTTGAAGAGTGTTCATTTTGAATTCTTTTCTCATCAACTAAAAAATTAATCGTGAAAAAAAGGAATACTAGTGGAATTCTTTTTTAATAGTATATATGCCATATATATATACAGGATATAGGAACGATCTATATATGAACATATACGTATATGCAGGAAGAAAAAAAAATACGAAGAGATCGAAGCACTATGATAGAGTTTACTAAGAAATGTATTTAAAAATTGTTTGCTGGGAACTTGGAAGTACCCCTCTCTAAAAATTAGATCGATAAACTCAGTTTTTCATGCTCATTCCAATGGTGTACTTTTTACGAGACTATCATGAAATAAAATTTTTTGGACTAGTTGATGTCACCTTTTTTATGTATATATCTTTCTTGCAGATAATCAAGATGAACATATGCAAAATCATTTATCTAATCTATGAATAAACTCATTGAAAACATCATTAGAAAACATAGACGCAACAATAGTGGATCTTGATGTTATTGATATTCCATATATATATCGTCTTCATTTATTTTGTGCAACGTTTGAATTTTAAGATATTCGATCAATTCGAAAGAAATTTCAAGAATTACAAGAAAACGATATTGATTCTATATCGGATGAATATTATTCTCGTCTTGATCAAATACATACATCGAATATTTACGATGAGAAATTTTCACAATTAATTTTCAATGATCAAACATGGTTTCAATTATATTTTCATGATCAAATAGCAATGCATTTAGCTGATGTTGAAATTCAACTTTCAACTGATTTTGTGTTTGATTTAATAACAAGTAATCCAACACGAACAATTAAACAATATAAACGATTATTTTTTATTGAACATATTGAATTAACAAGATTTCTTCGTCTATTTGAAATTAGTTTACAATTAGTTACTGAAGAACAAATTCGAAATATAATTACAAAACAATGGATTGAGATTCCACCTAATATGATACAATCTTCCGAATTCTATACACTTGTATTAGCTAATAATGAACAATTTTATTTATTACCACTAAAAGCAACAATTCTTGAAAAACAACAAATATTTGAATGTGAAGGTGATCCTATGATTGAAACAAGTCTAATGAATTTAATTGAACTTATTCTTTCACCATCTGTTATACAAGAAGTTAAAAATATTCAACAAATAACAACAACATTTAGTTTAATTGCACAAGGTATTCGTGATTTCGATTCATATGTAGTCAATAATTTAGAAAAACTTTGTTCATATCTTAATTTTGTTCATTGTCTTACTACATTAATACCTTATAGAGCTCTTGAAGTTTTTCAAGATGTTTCTAAGAGTGGTTTTGATGCAAAATTTCATTCATGTTCAAGTGTTCATTCTTTTATTACTCAATTACGAGACTGTATTAAATTTGAACAATCAACGGCTGATGAAAATATTATTCATCGAGCATTAGTTAAACTTGAACTTGATTATCTAAAAGATTGGTTAACTGATAATGAAGATTCTTATGGTGAAATTTTAACACTTATGAATGATGAAAATAATGATCTTTGGCTTTATTCAGCAAAATTTTTTACAATTATTGATAATAAACTTGAATTAACATCAACATTAAAAAAAATTCATGGTAATCTTCCATCAATTGATCAATATGAATATTTAAATCAATCTCTTGAAATACCAAATGTATCTACACGTAAAATTGAACGATTAATGGTCAATCGACTTCATATGCATTTAATGTTGAGCGTTGAAGGAGATGATATTGATTCACAACTTACTAATGAATATCCATATTTTATTGAAAATGTTCGTATAATTCAAAATAATACAAAATTACATGTTCTTCAAAAGATTTCATTAATTGCATGGTTAAAATATTATGCACAAATGTATGCATTTACTTTAATTAATTATAGTCATGAAGGTATATTATTGGATATTGATAAATTTCTAACTAATACAGATACACCATTTTGTTCAACACTTAAACTTTTTATTATGAAACAAATTTTACAGATGTCAAAAGTTAGATTTGAAGAATTCCGTGACATTTATGTTTATCGTAATCTTCTTTGGATAAAACCATTTTTTCAACGTTCACGTGAGCAACAAACAACAAGTAATCATCAAATTTTTATACCTCCAATGCCTCTTTTTCAATGTCGACAACAATTTATAAGAATTCGACAAACATTCAATAGTACAGATAGAAATAATCAAATAAGAAAAGTAATTCAAGAATGCAATCATACACAAGAATTATCTTATGCCTTTCTATGTTGGTTTATTGAATATTATTCTCGTTTTACTCAACCAAATACAGAAATAGATGCTAATTTTATTCGAATTATTCAACATGATTTTAGTCAAGATTTGATTAAATCATTTACACCATTAGGCCATCGATTTCTTATTGATCTATGTTCAAATTTTTCAGAAAAATCATATTTTCGACTTCATTCTGAAATGTTACCCGATGATATTCATAAACGTTTACTTGCGTTAAATATTGTCGCTGTGTTTATTTCATTTAGAGCACAACCAGACATTACACTTCTAGGTAATATTCTCTTTGATAATCAGCGACGAATGCCAAGCAGTTATGTTCAACATCTGTCAACAATCTGCTTACCAGGTTTGACAATTAACAGTACTATTGTTAGTCAAATGATGTATGTTTGTGCTCAAGTTCAAGATCGTATCAATAGATGTGTAATTTTTCGTGATTATGAAAAATTTATTTATCAATGCTCAGAAGAATGTTCCTGGATGTTCTTTTCTGAAGAATATAGTGTTCCAACCAGTAACACTGTTTGTCCTTTATGTCAGAAAAAGATCGGTGTTCTTATTAAACGTAGTCCTCCTCAACTTCAACTATCAATTCCAGAAGCCCTTCAAAAAATCGATAAATATATTAATCAAGAAAATCAAACAACCCGTTTTGGATATCATAATGTCAAGAATGCATATGAAAGTAGTGTAGGTGACAAACCTGATCATTTAAATCACTCAGTTTCATTTTATTTTATTCATTTTCTTATACATGGTCTTCTTCATTATTTGCATGATCGAAATTATTTGACTAATGATGATTTAAAACGACGTCTTAAAATACCAACAAATACTCATTTTCGTGATCACTTCGAAAAAGATTATCATCTTATTTGTCGAACATTAATTGATCCGAAAGAATGTTATATATGGCTTTATAAACTTCTTAATCATCTTATTGATAATGAATTTACTAAAAAAAACAGGTCAAATAAATACGAATGAAAATGTTATATATATTGAACAACTTATCGAAAAAAATCTTATTTTTAAACATATCGATTCAATTGACAATGAAATAACTGAATATAAAAGAGCTCATGCTGAATTTATACAAAAACAACAATCATTAGAAAGTTTTATTGATGAACTTTTTGAAAATGAAGAACAATATCCATTATTAAATTTTTTTAATATTACTACATTTCATACATCAAATCCGTTAGATGAATTTATATTGAAAATACAAAATTTACCTTTTGCGGAAAAAAATTTTCCTATTACAACATATCTTCTTAAACGTTTAGATGATTATACAAATATTCAACATTTATATCCAATTTTTACTTTCAGTAATTATTTAACTAAAAACTTAAATCATCGAATTACACGAAGTGATGCTGTACAAACAAAAATGATTCATTATTTGACACCAAATAATCATCGTTGTATAACTAAAAAAAGGTTTGATGATTTTCTTGATGCTTGGTATGCCCTAACTTTCAAAGAAGTTCGTTATAGATATCAAACACTAAAATTTGAACATGTTGGTCCTAAAGAAAAATTTGCTGAGAATACAAGTATTACAATGTTATTATTGACATCATCAAGAGATGACAGTATTCTTCTAACAGCATGTTTAAAGACAATAGCTGAATTACAAAATGAAATTGTCAATTATTTTCATAATACAGTTGAAACAACAACAACAACAAAAACTAAAAAAACAGTTTACCATTACAATCAATTCGATCTGAACATATTTTTGCTCTTAATCGTAATGATTTAAGTACGAAATTAATTAATCATAGTCTTGTCGTTAATTATCAATATGGAAAAAGTAAAGATATTATTTATGATTATGAAGAAATGGAAATTACACTTCGAAATATAATCAGTAAATTAGTTTTGATTGATACAGAAAAGTTAAATTTTTTAACATATCAATTTGAATTATATGATGAAAATCAGTCACAAATTAATGAAGTACGTGCTCGTATTAGACAACAACAATTAACTAATGATGATCGAACTAAATTAAGTAGTCTCATTCATACAATGAATCATGATGATATTCTTCATTATCTTCGTTCACTTGATAATATTTTTACTTATATAAGAACAGTTGCTGTAGAAAGATTAACAGAAGATATGACTATTCAATTATTTATTGTACGATTTATTCCTTCAAAATCTCGTGTATATGATAATGTTCTTCGTTGGCCACATTTTTGCACAATTCAATTACGATATATTATTGATTTTTATGAAATGTTTGAAGAAATTGCATTTGATAAAGTTCTATGTAACTATATTAAAAAAGAACTTCTCGAAGACACATTTACGAATGAAGAACGAACACGAATTGTTTATGCATTTTCGCATGCAACATTTAAAAAAGAGACAATTGCTGAATCACTCAAATCAATTGATTGTTGGATTTCAACACTAAAACGATTGATAGTGCGTGTATTATTGAAAACGAATCTATATCTTGATATTCCATTACAATTGTATCTTGAACGAACAGATTTATGGAGTGATCATATTAGTTTGGACGATTTGACAACATTTGAGATCGATGATGACATAGTATTACAACACACTTATGTAATTCTAACTGATTTAGCAAAATAAACAAAAAGAACCTCATCAATTGCAACAACAACGAAACAAACCAGTAGTTCAAAGTGTTGAAGGACAACGACAAAAAGAAAATATATGGTATAGTCAAGCACAAAAACCAGCAATTAGTACCTGAGTGATTCGTGTCAAAAAAGCCAGTTGGAAAGAAGGCACCTTGTTCATAATACATACACTTTAATTTTTTTGTTATTAATAAACCTGAATAAAAATCATTAATTAAATGAATAAAATATCAACATAAATTTTCGAATATGAGCAGATATCAGTATACGTCCATTGATGGACATTTAAAACACTTTAGAAAGAAATTGATTTTATTGGTTTTTTAAAGATTGATTACTAATCATACAACTATCTTCACAGTGATATTTTTTCTAGTTATTACTTCTGAAGGAGAAATCGTTTTGATTGAATTCTCATAATATTGAATATCGTAGGAATATTACACGATTGAACTTTTAGAAAGAATATGTGTTTGTCCTTATAAAAACAATCGAGATTCATCTAAGTTCATTGTCGAATGACAGCTGCTTACTCTATACAAAAGTACTTAGATATGAATGAATCCAGTTACAATTATATGACAATATGTTTTTTTAATTAGCTGTTTTAGAAATCTATTGATTCATTTAACAGAAAAGAACTTGTAAAAAAAATCATCGATATTTGAGTTATCCATCTGTAATCATAAATCTTTTGTAGTCTCTAATTGCTTCCTATACGATAAGCTGTTTCTTTATCGATCATAGGGTGGGTGTGGGTGTGAGTGGGTGCGCGTGGGTGTGGTGTGACTGTGGGTGTAGGTTTCGATGTAGATATTTCAATCATTCACACCCACACCCTCCATATATTGATATAAGTGGCCAATATACAAATGAACGATCAATTTCTTATCTTCCTATGTATTTCTTAGTAAATAATTCTACTTGTACTATGGCTTGTCTCACTCATAGTCGAAATTGTTTAGATGACATTTTCTTCTTACATAATTTGTAGTGAAATTTCATGTGCAAAGATCGTAAGAGAAGAATGTCCTAATATTTTTCAATTTCATCCAATGCAGATCTTTTCCCATCGTATGTTTATCGTCTATACAATCAATCGATCTGATTATAATTCTCAATATGCTTCATTACCCAATATTGTCTGCTATGAACAACAATTGTGTGACCATTCTCTTCCAATAATTGACAATGATTTATTCAACAATTCGAAATGTATTTAATTTTACAAAAAAACACAATTATAAAACGTTCTTGGAATGATATTTTAGTTCGAATTAAAAACGTTTTTTCAAGGTTGTTAAGCAAATAATAAATAAACTAATAGAACTGACTGTTTATATTCATCGTTACATTGATGTTCGAATAGTTTAACATGTATTTCTAAATATCATTTACTCGATGATAACCATAGATTGTTATTTAAATGTTGATGAAACTTTTAATAACAGTGATTCTCTCAATCAAAAGTATCGTTTTAATTGCTCTATGGAAAATCATTGTATATCATGGATAATAGTAAATGACTTTAAAACTGATTGTTTAATAAACGATGATGAAATATCATCTGATATAAAAAAAAATCAAAAAACCATATTTCATGTCAGACAGCATGTGATAGTTTTCAGGAATTATCATTTATTACAATTAATGACAAAAACAAATCGGACAAAGCTAATTGCCACTTATGGCCATGTAATAATCTACATACACGTTGTAATAGACTATGGAATTGTTTAGATGGAACTGATGAAATTAATTGTTCAATATCAATCTGCCCACCATCACATCATATGTGTGTTTCATCAATAACAAATAATTGGACATGTATACCAATGTCAAAGATAAACGATAGTATTGTCGATTATCTAGGAGGATTTGATAAACGTCATATATGCCGAACTTCCTATTCGCACTAGATATGACAAACTCATATGTCTATATCCACCTAGTTACTATGGAGATAAATATCAATATCAAAATCAACGAGTTCGTCTTACTTTGTAGTTACAAACAATGACTAATTTCTGTATGATATTTACTATTGTTATCATGTTGATTGATAATGAAAGTCAAACTACTTCATGTAAACATTTTAATCATTTAGGAATTCCAGATTTTAGTAAAAAATTTAATAGATATCTTTTGTATTCGACTCAATCGAAAGATACTACAAAGAATTATTTTGCTCGTATAGAAGCGTTGAAAGTAATATCTTTAGAGTATCATACTAGTTGATTATATCTGCTTAAGTTTTCATTTTTTTTTACTTGTTCATCGTTTATCAATTCGATTAATTATTCCAACGTTCTTTCCTGAAATCACAAAATGCACCTATTTAATGTAAAAAGTAATCAATGGTTTACATTGAGTCAAATATATGTATAAGTCCACTTGGAAAATATGGTGGACAATGTTGATTAATACAATTAATTTGTTCTAAAGATATTTGTAAAAATTCTGGACATTGTCTACCATTCAATGAACGTAGCATTAATAATCAATGGTATTGCATTTTTAAAGAAGATTATTTTCATAAACAAAGTAATACAATTAATAGAAAGATTATAGTCTCTTTTTATGATACTGAAATTCCATTATCATTCTAAGTACATTTTATTTATGTACCAGACAATAAATCTCATAAACGTAAAATGACATTTATTAAAGTTTTGTTTGATCGAAATATGATTACTTTGTATATTCATCAATCTCGTGTCATTTGATTATTATCGAATTTTATAATAATTATTTTTTGCATACTCTTCAAAAAACCGAAATTTTATCGAAGAATGATATTCATATAAATTTGATTATCTCTCAACGATGTCGATCGATTGAAAATCTACTACATTCTACTATAGTTAAATCACATTTGATACAATGCATTAAATATTATCATCTACCATATGTCAACAATAATCTGATCTAAACTGTTTTTATGATAACATTTACATGTGTCTGTAAAATAACGAAAGATATGCTGATTCTTTTGAATTTGATCATAATATGACTTATATTTGTCAAGGTGTTAACTATTGTTTCAATGATGGTCAATGTTTTGCAAGATTATTATATATGTCTTACTAAGTGTTTTTGTGCATGGACAGAATGTTATTATGGAACTCGATCTCAATTAACGATGAAAGGGACAACTTTATCACTAGATGTTATACTTGGAAATTTAATTCAACCTTATGTTACTTTTACTCAACAGTCGCATGTTATTAAGATTTCTGCAATTATTACTATGATCATGTTTATATTGAATGTTACGAATGGATTTCTTTCAATTATAATATTTAGAACTATCAAAATCGGACAAGAAATATGCAGATTTTATCTTTTCATTTTATTAATAATCTCACTAATTACTATAAGTATGTTAACTATAAAGTTTTGGTTACTTTTTCTTGTACAAATGTCTTCGATTTCGAAGCATTTATTTTTATTTATTCAATATAAATGTTTAGATATGTTTCTTATGGTTTTTCTTCGTTTTCACGATTGGTTAATTGCATGGATTTCATTAAAACGAGCAATGAATTTAAAAAAAACGAGTTATTTTCATAAAATAAACGATCAATCCATTTAGATAACATCGAAGAACAATGTATATGATGTATTGTTAATTATTCTGGATTTATTCGAATATATAATTTAATAGTAGATTTTTCTCATTGCATTATTCCTTTCTGTATTAATGTCATATCAGCTTTTGTTATCATTGTAATAGTAACCCCAAAACGCTCAACAATTCGAGCACATCTATCTTATAAAGAATATTTTCAAAAACAATTTCATGAACTTAAACTTATATTAATTAGTTCTATTATATTAATTCTTTTAGCTTTACCACGTATAATTATTTCTTTATTTTCACGTTGTATAAAATCTATACGTGAGCCGTACCTATTTCTATTTGGTTTATATTCATATTATATCTCGCTTACTCTTGTTTTTATTATTTTTGTACTACCATCAAAAACATATAAGAAAGTATTTATTAATTCTATGAATCGGTTAACAATAAGTATACGACACTTTATAAAAGCGAACTAATGAAAGATTATTAAAAAATCTATCAATATTTTGCGAGTTAATAAAATAAATCTCATACTTTATTATATGACCTAGTATTCGTCAAGTTTTGAAGGTGTAGGTACGATTCTGGTAATGAATGATCGCACCTATGACATTCACACTCGTAAGATTCTTTTTGTGTATTGTAACATGAGTGTGGGTATTTTCGTCATTGACACTCATATCCACACCCACATCCTATTCGTTTTTTGTTACGCCCTTTTGAACAACTTTCATTTCGACCATCTTGTTATTTTTTATTTTTTATTAGTTTTTATTATTCCTAACTGTTATATACTTAATTTCGAATATTCTGTCTTTTTTCTTACTTATGTTCAAAGATCGTAACGAGCGAATGCTACTGAAGATTATCGTAAAAAATTGGTGTGGGATGTCCCTCTCTTCTCCTCTAGCTCTCATATCGATATAAAGTTCAATTATGATTCATCAGTTTTTTTAAAATATAAATAAAAAATATCCCTGAACTTCCGATACGATCATAAACTGAAAAAGTATAAAGACAGCGATATTTGAAACGGAGAGATCTTAGATTATGCCTGGCATTGATTGATCAATTTTACTTGCACAAAAGACTAACAATCAATTGGGAATTGATTTGCAAAACATGTACATATAATACTATATTTTCGTCCATAAGTATCATCTTATTTCCTAACAAATGTTGATTGTCTTTCTCCCTTGGTTGATCAATGACAATACCAGTAAAAACTATGCCTTTGTTACGTTGTACTGACGAGGAGACCGTCCCAGGTGTCCCCCTCAGATTTCCTTCGTTTACGTGCCAATCAGTAGAGGATATCGAGGTGGTATAAAGCCTAAATGGATTTGCGCTGAGTCTTCTTTCTCCAAAAGTTATGGTGATTTTTCGTTTTTTCTCACGTCAGCGAAAAACCCGACAATTTGAAAAATTCAAAACTCAGTCAAAAATTGACATAAACCCTTGAAATTTGCAATATAGTGAGCTCAATACACAGACTCACTGTGCTCAAAATTTCAGATCGATCAAGCATTCGATCCCTAAGTTATCGCTCTATATTTCTCTACAGAAAGAACAGCCAACTTTCAGTCAGTGTTTTTTTTTCAACTTTATCAGCTGTTGTCTGCGAGTGATTAGCGTTGTTTACAGTTCTTATTAACTTTATCCGTAAGTAACTGTCATGGCCAGCGGCCATGATACAGTATCACTCTAGTATCTCATTCATCACATTCTTCACTTTCTCTTTCCTTTCTTTTCTTCTCTTTTTGAGATATGCATTCTGTTCTGTTCTGTTTTTTCTTCTGTCGCGCAGATTCTTTCTCCTTGTCTGTTTTTCGGACATTCATTCTTTTTCTGGTTTATTCTCCAGAATACACTCTTCATCGTTTTCGTTTGATCATTCGGTTCCTCAGAAGAAGAGAGTGATCGTTAACAGTAACATATTTTCTTTGAGTTGTAGATTTCACTGAAAAACTTCACAATGATTAATCCTCATAACGTTTCTCGTCTCGTCTCCAATTATATATCAGAATTACTTCCGTCTTCCAATCTAACGAATGCCTACACTCCTCGTGATGAGGATGTGGCTCGGCATATTGTCCATACTATTGAATCTGTTCTGGACTGTACACATTATAGTTTTGAAACAGAAGAAACACTGGTAAATAATTCGATCACCAGGAGGATATTCAGAAAAATTCTTTGTTTTCTCTGATTGCAGGATTTTATTTACAACTTTGGTGAACAAACTGAAGACACTGAAATAGACTCTGATGATGAAAATGATGAAAGCTATACAGAAGAAGATGTAGAAGAGAAAGATAACGGTTTATTAAATCACTTTTCTCTTGAGTATATGCAAAAAGCCGTTGATTATTACGATGAAGTGAATGTGAATACTGGTAAAAAGAGCCATTCATGGAGTAGTTTTCAAAGACGTTTCAGAAGAATAAAAGATAAAAACTATATCAACCGTTTCCGCACATATTTACAACAGAAAGGAACCAAAAAACACAAGCTTGAAGAAATTGATGCGTTTGTGTGCAGTTCATTCGAGAAAGCTCGTGATCAGTTTTTATTCACACATGATATACAATTAAGACGTTGGGCGCTTCAAAAAGCACATGAACTGGAAGAGCATAGTTTTCTGGCTAGTGAAAAGTGGCTTCGTAATTTCAAGCATAGACATGGAATTTGTAGTCGTCATGTGACTAAAGTAAAATTCTAGCTTTATTTTCAACCTTGTGCTCTTTGATAGACAACTTTGTGCTCTGACGGTTCTCCTAGAAACTGCAACCTATCTGATGATCGTTGTCTTCTCTGTTTCAGCTCGTGACAATGAAAGAAGTTGAAAACGTGGATACAATCAATGAATCAGCTGAAAAATTTGTATCAGATGTCAAAAAACTACTTCCAAGTTACAACGAATCCAACGTGTTTAATACTGATCAGTTAGGATTAGAGTTGGAGATGCATTCAAATCGTACATTATCATTTGAAGGAGAAAAAATAGCAGCAGCAACAGTTCGTTCAAAGCACAATATTACACATAGTTATACAGTTCAACCAATCCTTTCAATGGAGGGTACACCAGTTGGACCTTTGTTCTTATGTCTAAAAGAAGCCGTAAGTAACTGTTGAAGGAGATGCTTTTCTAGCAAAAAGTCTTTTATGAATATTTTAGAACGGACATATGAGCGATAATATTAAACAGAATCTCTTTAAAACAGATAACGTTGTACTCACCTGTAGTAAATCCGGTAAATTGACAACAAGTCTGGTTCAGTATTGGAGTGATAATGTGTTATTACCTTTGGTTGGTAATAGAAAGTGTATTCTGTTAAGTGACTACTGGGGAGGTCAAAGGACTGATAAACTTTACGAAAAAATGAAACATCTTAAACGGGTTGAAATTCCAAAAAGTACCACGTCAATGATACAGCCGCTTGATGTTGGATGGAATCGTCAGTATAAGTACTTTATACGACAGATGTACGATCATGTTCGCCTATACGATTTAGATGTTAATTTAGCGCAACGTAATAACATTATTAAAATGAACAGTTTAGCATATAACCAAATGACGTCACCCAAATTCAAACCAATGGGCCGTTACGCCTGGTATCAGTCTGGATATCTCGAAGATAATCCAGGTCCATTTCAAAATACAAAAGAACTGTGTTTCTCGTTCGGTGATCAACGTTGTAGTGAATTCCAGTGTAAAGTAATGCCCTTCGTGAAGTGTAGTTTTTGTGCAGAAGTTTTATGCTTCTCTCATTTTTTTGATTGTTATCATAAGCATTGATCTTTGGGCTGTGTGCTTTATGATTTAGGCCATATTTGGTCCTATGTAATCTTTCTCTACAGTGTAATGTGTCAGATTACTCTGTATATCATTTTTCTGTCCAATGGCAGTTTTTGTAGAAGGGAGCTTTTTTAATAAAAAAAGTACCTTCTAAAGTGAGTGGTTTCTATGTATCAGAAAGAACACAACGTTCATTTAGAAGAATGAACGGCCAGTATCTTACACATGGAAAATTTCTTTTATTCAGATTCAGGAGAAGTTCTCCCAGAAAATACAGTAGTCGAGAAATCTCTCTTTTTACTCCTCGAATGTAAATTTCCATAATTCAGGAATAGAATGCTTGATCGATCTGAAATTTTGAGCACAGTGAGTCTGTGTATTGAGCTCACTATATTGCAAATTTCAAGGGTTTATGTCAATTTTTGACTGAGTTTTGAATTTTTCAAATTGTCGGGTTTTTCGCTGACGTGAGAAAAAACGAAAAATCACCATAACTTTTGGAGAAAGAAGACTCAGCGCAAATCCATTTAGGCTTTATACCACCTCGATATCCTCTACTGATTGGCACGTAAACGAAGGAAATCTGAGGGGGACACCTGGGACGGTCTCCTCGTTAGTAGATAAATATAATTAACATTCGATTAATCTGATGTTATTTATCTATTAATTGATAACATAAAAATAGAGTTGATGGGTCCTTAGTATGCTCATCCTATGTCAAAAACGAAGTACCTTAATCTTCCTCCTAAACTACACAATGTCCTTTAGCAAAAACCTGAAAGAAAGAAATTTTGATCTCAAATTTTGTCCTTAATCAGTTTATATGATCTTTACATTGTTCGGAAATTTTCAGTCAAAACGAATACTTCATTGTTAATATATTGGATGTAGAAAAAAATCAACAATATTTTGTAAAATACTCACAAAATCCGATTTCTCTTCAACATGCCGTATTTTCAAAAGTAAACAACAGCTATTGGGAAAAATTTCAGAGAAATCTAAATAGCATATCAGCTATTTATGGGCAAATTTTCAAATTAAAATCCCTTTGTTTCCATTTTTTCTTGAGACGGAATATTCCGTTGCGAAATCATTTGTGGGTGTGAGTGTCCTGCTGTAGCGGAATAATTTGAAATTTACGAAATGGCTTTATCAGATACATTAACACTATGTTTAACAATGTCGCTTAAAAAAACGAGAGCTTCATATCACTTATATGAAAAATGAAAATCTCAGAAAACAAAGTGATACTAAAAAAGTTACGAATCATAAAAGATTCATTGTTCATTTTTAAGAGTCACTTGAGAATTATATTTTCATCCGTGTATAATCACTAAGGTCATTTCAGTTCAGAAAAATGTTGCTTTTTGCATCTTAGCTTTGGGTGTGGGTGTATGTCTTGTTTTTATCTACACTCACACCCACACCCCACATCCACACCCACACCCCACATCCACACCCAC